ATTTCAATTTCTTAGGTGCAGATGAAATTGAGTTTGTCATAAAGTTTTTGAAAAGATCTGGCCAGGAATTTTTTATGTTTCCAGAGAGAGACGACATCTCTGTCATCAATCAGAGTGATGTAGTGTTTAGATTATGCCAGCCGAATCTTAACAACGGGGGGCAATATAGTTTTCCAAAAGACTTAACATTCAAAAATATTTGTTAATTTACTTACTAATAATGTTTAAAGTTTTATAAACCTTGTACCATGGACTATTTTATGTCAACTATTCAAAACTATTGATTAAAGATGATGATTATTTTTGTAAATTACCTGACAGACACTTTTAGCCATTACAGCATAAAGCAATACTATTCTAATGTCACATCTAGGGTAAATTTGTCACATCTGTGGATCACGCTAAAAGTTTTAAACTTTCTTTTTTTGTAAAATGGCATTTAACGAGTTGTGGAGATACAAATAATTAAGTATACTCAAAGCTTTAACAGCAAAAAAATTTGGTTTGGAAAATTTAATATTTAAATTTTATAAAATTAACTATTAAAAATGTTACTTTTCAGGAGAATGACCCATATACATTCTCTCAGTTCTAAATTATTTATTTAAAAGTTTTGCATTATAGGCACTGTCATCATCAGCATATAATATAATAACAAAAATTAAATAACAACAAATTTTTTGAATTTTTGTCACCTTTATAACGGCTTCTTTTACTTAAGTATGAAAAATGAAAAATGAAGTCCAAAAATTTGTTTTTACATATTGTCCATTGTCCAAATTCATACCACCGTTTTTGTTTCTCCAAAGTTTCACAGACTTTTCTTTCAAATTTTTTATCCTCAATTTTAAGTGATTCTACTTAATCTTGTTTAATGTCCTCATTGCAATTTACTTTATGCAAAGCTAATGCAGACAGGTGTAACTTGCCTTCAGTCAAAAATTTTAGTGTTGCTGAACCCCTGTTCGTATTTGAGTTTTTGTTTCACTGACATCAAAAATGAGTTCACTTTGAACTCATATTTTCCTTGTGTATTATTAATAACAGGTTTGCAAAAAAACCGGTTATTTTGAAAAAAAACAAAAAAAACCATGGTTTTTTTTGGTTTAATATATATATATATATATATATATATATATATATATATATATATATATATATATATATATATATATATATATATATATGTATATATATATATATATATATATATATATATATATATATATATACATAATATATATATATATATATATATATTATGTATATATATATATATATATATATATATATATATACATATATATATATATACATATATTATATATATATATATATATATATATATATATATATATATATATATATATATATATATATATATATATATATATATATATATATATATATATATATATATATATATATATATATATATATAGGCTTGGCCAGGAAGGCATGCGATTTCACGTCATAATATGACCATGTAAATACTATTTGATTTTACTTAACTTGACCACGACTGTTAAAATGTTTTGAAAATTTGTATACGTTTTCAAAATGCACTAAAAAAATTAGATTACTCTTAACTTAACTATAAAGAAACTTAAAAAAAAACTTAGCATTAAAGAAGCAAATAAATCTTGGTAAAAAAAAAAAAATAACGAAAAACAAAATTAAAATAATTTAACTAAAGCTAAAATAGCAAAAATAAAATTAAAACTCAAATGAAATAATTAATAAATTATAACGATAAGATTATCTTAATTAAGTTTGAAATAAATAACTTTGAATCGTTAACCTATACTAATGTTTTTATTATATAATATTATGCAAAACCCTTTTTTAAGTAAAATAACAACTTACAACTGACCATTGTTTAATAAACGTGTACATTAGTAATTATAAAAATATATTCTTAGTAATTCTTTACACAAATGAAAAAATAATTAAATCATTTATTTAAAAAATTAATAAAACTTTTTTTATTTAAAAACATAATAAAAAATAAATACTTATATGATATAAGTATTTATTTTTTATTATAAATATTTATTTTTATTATAAATATTTATATAAGTTATACAAGTATAAAAAAATATATAATAATCATTAATGTTTTTATAAAAAATCATTAAAAGTGATTTGTTACTTTATTTAAATGCGCTACTTTATTTAAATGAGTTTTAAAAATGTAAGTAAAGATCAAAGATATTTAATTCAAACAGGTTTCAAAAAATTTTGTCTTTTCTTCTTAGCAAAAACTATAATGATTCTTATATAAAGTTTATTATAGGGACCTTCACTGTTTAAAGTTGTTGCTTATATAAAAAAAAAAATTTAATTTTAACTTTTTTTATTTTTACTTATAAAAAATCTTATATCATTAAATAATATAAAATAAAAAACTATGCATCCTTCAATGATACTTTAATTTAAAAGCATTTTGCTAATATAAACGTGTCGAAACGCTAATATAAATTGCTAATATAAATTACTAATATAAATGTGTCGAAAAAGTTAAACGTGTCGAAGTAATTCATTTTCTACGTAATTAAAAACCCATTTTTTCAGCACATTTGTTAAAAACTGTGGTTAAATCATTAAAACAAAATATTATTAGCGTCTTATTAGACTTGAAATTGCACTCCTTCCTGGTCAAGTCTATATATATATATATATATATATATATATATATATATATATATATATATATATATATATATATATATATATATATATATATAATATATATATATACATAAATATATATATATATATATATATATACATATATATATATATATATAAATAAATAAATATATATATATATATATATATATATACATAAATAAATATATATATATATATATATATATATATATATATATATATACATATATATATATATATATATATATATATATATATATATATATATATATATATATATATATATATATATATATATATATATATATATATATAATTTTTGTTAGTTGACTTCTTCAAGGCCAAGAAGGCCACTATAGACGAGGAGGCTACTTGATTGTGATTATAACCCTCTTTCAACTCTATAACTCTGAAATACGAACCTTAACAAACAAGGGCGCTGCGCAGAGAAACAAATTGAGCATGGTACTACCAGGGATGTGGTGGGGATCAAACTTGTAACTACATTGCTTATGAAGCGAGCTCTCTTCTACTACACGACTATGGCATATATATATATATATTTTTTTTTAATTCACCTCCTCAAGGCTGAGAAGGCCACTACAGATGAGGAGGCTACTTATTTGTGGTAACAAACCTCTCTCAACTCTATAACTCCGAAACACAAACCTTGACGAACAAGGCTGCTGCGTGGAGAAACAAGTTGAGCGCGGTACTACCAGGGACATGGTGGGTATCGAACTCAAATATATATATATATATATATATATATATATATATATATATATATATATATATATATATATATATATATATATATATATATATATATATATATATATATATATATATATGTATATATATGTATATATATATATATATATATATATATATATATATATATATATATATATATATATATATATATATATATATATATATATATATATATATATATGCAGTAGTGGTGTAGTAGTAGAGCGCTCACTTCATAAGAAATGCAGTTACAAGTTTGATCCCCACCATGCATTGTAGTTAAAAAGTTTCTTTCATTAACAGTAGTTTTAAAGAGATCGCTATAAAACCAGACCAGAAAAAAGCTAAATTACCTGGGAAAATAGCTAAATTACCGGATCCCTGGTTCTGAACTGGGTGCCCAACTTATCACTAGTAGCAACCCTCCCTTGTAGCAGCAGTCTATAAGATAGTTGATGTAGCAGCACTTCCTTTTAGCAGCAAGCTATAAGGTATTTGACGTAGCAACACTTCGTCCATGTTTTACAGTAAAAGATAAAAAAAGTTCAGAATGTTTTTTTATAAAGAAATAAAATAAAAACATTCAGTTTGTTTTTAAAAACATTCTAGTCTTAACTTGCACTTTTTTTTTTTTTAAAACAATAAATTTAAGTTAAAGTAAAGTTTTCTCAATTAAATTAATACGTTTTGACATAATCTGACCTAATTTCGTCATTTCAGAGAGTAGTTAAAGAGATCCCAAACCTCCGAGACATGTTGTGTTTATATTAAAGATAATGATAAAAAAATAATAATAATAACTCTTACTAAAACTCTTACAAATAAAACCCACTCAAATAAATTATTAAGTCTGTAGATTGTGGTGTCTGCTATGCTGACTTTTAGGCCTTCAACAAAATGAAAAAGGTGAGTTTCAACTAAAATAAAAAAATTTGATTTATTTGGTATGCATTTATTCTATTGTTAAAATCAAAAAAATTTAACCCAAACATTTTTTTTATCATTTTCTTTTATATGAACACAACATGTCTTGGAGGTTTGGGATCCATTTAAGTGTCGCTTTTTGACAAATATGGTAAATTTAGGAACTTTTAATAGGTATATATGTAACAAATATACATACATACATATATATATATATATATATATATATATATATATATATATATATATATATATATATATATATATATATATATATATATATATATATATATATATATATATATATATATATATATATATTTAGGAACTTAGGATATATATATATTTAGGAACTTAACACATATATATATAAATTTAGGAACTTTTATTAATAATGTAATATATGTATATATATATATATACATTGCTCAAAGTGAGGCAGGATGCCATCTCGCTACCTTTTTATAAATCTCTATATATAACAATGGTTATGTGGGACGGTATTGCTGAATGCCGACCCTAATTCAAAAGGTTGTATATAAATATATATATATATATATATATATATATATATATATATATATATATATATATATATATATATATATATATATATAAAATTTGTAATTTTTTAAATTGTTATATAGTTATAGTGTTGAACAAAAACAAACAGATTGCTACAATAAATAATTTGGAAAAAGAGTATTCAGTTTATTTTAAATTTAAACTTATATCAAATGAAGGTTTTGCAAATGTCATTTATTTTACCACTGGATTAGACATATGTCTCTTTGGATGTGGAATTCCTTCTGTATTTATTGAATCTACAGGAGAATTGCGCATTTCTTCTGTAATAAATGACAATTATGATTATGTTGTGCGCACATCGAAAATACCGTTTAATCAGTGGTCAAGTATAGAAATTTCACAGACTCAAAGTAGTGGCAATTATATATATACAGTGTATTTAAATGGACAAACTGTTACAAGTGTTTTTAATAAAAAACCTCAAATGTTTCCAAATGTCAATGTGTATGCAACACATCCGTGGCGGAATGGAGCTGTTGGTTTTATTAAAGATCTCAAAATTATAAATGGAAATGACAGTAAGTGTATTTTTATTTTTTAGAACTATTTGTTTACAAAAAAATTGATAGTAGTGATAAGCTGATTTTAAATCATATTTACAATTAACTAGTATATAATTGCTAAATTAATTACTGTAATTACTCAAAGAAAATAAAAGTTATAGGTAAAGTCAGTACATCTGAACAAGAAGACATAGTTGTAGCTCAGTGGTTTAGTGCACTGTCATTAGTGTTGTTTTGGTATTTTAGGACCTCCTTTTACTGTAATAAATTTTTTCAATCTTGCTTATGTCTATAGCAAAAAAAAAAAAAAAAAGCCAAAAAAGATTTTCAATTGGTAAAATAAAATTTTAAGGTTTTCACATTTTATAGATATGTTATACATAATTGTTCCATATAATGCCTGCGTGCAAACTTAACATATGCCAAAGATGTTTACACTTACAGACATTTGTACGTAATTTTATACAAATGGCAGAACTAAGAAGATCTTAGACCATTAAAAACTATAGACACAGCCTTAGCTATAAAATACTAATCTAAAAATTAAGTCATAAAAGTTATGCATCAGTTTGTGGCAAAAAAAAACCTTTATCATTAAATTTGCTTTTCAATTTATCTTTTTACATTTTTTAATTAATTTTGATTATGGTGCATACAATTGCACAAAAAGATATAAAACTGGTACAGATATATCATTTCACCAATAAGTTTGTATTTATTACAGTTGTAATTAAAAAATAGTTTTAAAGAAATAACATAGTAATTACTAAAATTAGTCTTTATTAGAGTATATTCCATAAAAATATATTCTTTTTATTTATAATAAAAGGAATTTTTCTAAAAACTTCAAAATCTTTTTTGTTAAGCAATGTAATAGCAATAAATGTGAACATATTTTATGAAAAACTCAATCTTTTTTGCTCTTACAAGATATTTTTCAATCTTGACATGTTTCACAAAACATGTCAAGATTGGAAAACATTGCATTTTTTTTTAAAATCTTATTTCTAGTTTGTTTTTTTGTTTTTTTTGCCACAAAGTGACATAGTCACATATTTAAAAAATTTTTCACTAATATAAAAAATATTTGGCTTCAACGATTTACAAAAAGTCATGTCTGTCATTTTTAATGTTCTAAGGAGATTCAATAATGTTCGTGGATTCAGGCTGGCATGGAATCCTTTATTCCCTCTCGACGATTCCAGGTCAAGCCTCACTCTTCTCCATGGTTTTCCTCACATTGTGCTGCTGCAATTGCTAATCAAATCCATTACTTCCATATCTATCAGCAAAACAATTCTCCAGCAAACAGACGTCTGTTTATTACTGCTAGGAACCATTGTAAAAAGGTTTTGTCTAACGCCAAAGCCCGCTATTCTCAGATCATAAAATCTCGTATTTCATCACAAAAATTAGGCTCTCATGACTTCTGGAGAATCTTTAATATTATCAATAATAAGGGCAAGTCTGTAACTCCACCTCTTTTGTACGGTTTAGACTTTGTCACCTCACCTAAAGACAAAGCTGAATTGTTTGCCAAGAACTTTTCATCAATATCATCTCTGGATTCCACTAGTTGCGTTCTACCTGATATAGCCGTCAAACAGGTTGATCCACTGCTCGACAGTGATTTCCTGCTTAGACTCTTCTACAGCTTGCGGCCTGGACAACATACCTGTTATAGTCTTGCAGAAGTGTTCTCCGGAGCTGTCGTCTATCCTTTCAAAACTATTTAACAAGTGCTTATCAGAGTCTTGTTTTCCAGCCTGCTGGAAAGCAGCATCTGTTATCCCTATTTTTAAAAATTCTGGAGAGCAATTTGATTCGTCTAACTACCGTCCCATTAGTCTTCTTCCTATCACAAGCAAGGTTTTTGAATCTTTAATTAACAAACACTTAATCTCTCATCTCGAATCTCATAACCTACTTTCTGATCATCAATATGGACTTCGATCTTCTTGTTCTACGGCTGATTTGCTAACAGTATTAACTGATAGGTTTTATCGCGCATTAGATAAAGGTGGAGAGGTTAAGGCCATCGCTCTTGACATTTCTAAGGCCTTTGATAAAGTTTGGCATGCTGGTCTTCTCCATAAGCTTTTTTTTTACGGTGTATCTGGAAACATCTTTAAGATTATCGAATCCTTCCTTTCCAATCGTAGTATAAAAGTTGTCCAGATGGACAGCACTCTTCTTCTTATTCTGTAACCTCAGGGGTTCCTCAAAGTTCAATCCTTGGCCCTATACTCTTTTTAATTTACATTAACGATCTTCCAGATTTTCTCACATCTAAGGTGGCATTGTTCGCTGATGATACTACTATTTATTCTTGTCACGATAAGAAGCTAACTCCCTCTGATTGCTTGCAAGAGGCATCTGAGCTTGAAAAGGATCTCACTTCTGATACAGCATGGGGCTCACGGTGGCTGGTGAACTTTAATTCAGATAAAACTCAATTTTTTTCAGCCAATCGTTATCGCAATAATTTAGACCTTCCTATATTTATGAACGGTAATGTACTCGATGAGTCTCCTACCCTTCATCTTCTAGGATTAACTCTTACTTCTGATCTTTCTTGGAAACCTTATATCAAATCCGTTGCAAAATTAGCATCTGCTAAAGTTGCTTCTCTTTATTGAGTTCGTCACTTTCTTACTCTGGATTCTACTTTCTATCTCTATAAATCTCAAATCCGGCCTTGCATGGAATACTGTTGCCTAATCTGGGGTGGATCTTCTAATGATGCCCTTTCTCTTTTAGACAAGGTGCAAAAACGCTATGTAAACAAAGTTGGACCTACTCTTGCAACCAACCTTCAACCTCTGTCACATCGTTGTAACATTGCTTTTCTTTCTCTTTTCTACAAATACTATAATGGGCACTGCTCTAAAGAGCTAGCGTCTCTTGTGCCATCTACAAAAATTTATTCTCGTGTTACTCGTCATTCAATTAAGTCTCATCCTTTTTCTGTTACAGTTCCTAAGTGTACCAAAAATTCTTATTCGTCTAGTTTTTTCCCTCGAACATCAGTTCTTTGGAATTCGCTTCCTTCATCTTGCTTTCCTGATTCATATAATTTGCAATCTTTTAAGTCGTCTGTCAATCGTTATCTTGCTCTACAATCTTCATCTTTTCTCTTCCAGTAACTTCCAACACTAATTAGTGGTTGCTTGCAGCCTTGTTGGAAGCGAAGATGTTAAAAAAAAAAAAAAAGAAGAAGAAGAAGAAGAAGAAGATGGCGTAAATTAAGCAATCAGAAATTATCAAGAGCGGGGCAAATCTTAAATTAAAGTTTCAAATTTTCCACCTGGACAATATGTTTAATATTTTTTTATTCTCATCAATTTTTTTAAATACAATAACATAAATACAAAAATTCAAAACAAAACAGCTTGAGCAAAACAGATTTAATAGAAACATTTTCTTATATTGCGCACAATCCTGTATAAAACGTAGTGGATTATAAAACAATAAAACGTAGTGGATTATAATACAAGTGGATTTTTTACATTTGCATATAACTTATGTGTTTATATACAAGCACGACTATTTCCACACCATAAAGCTGTGCTTATTTAGAGAATCAGTTTGAAAAGTGTTGGTTAATTACAACCATAAATAGGAAAAACAAACCATTTATAAAATGGTTTGTTTTTCAGTTGCATGCATAAAATTGATAGATCAGTGGTTTAATGCACTGTCATCTGTGCCGTTTTTGTAAAGTTTCAAATCTGCCTTTTAGCACAATATTTTTTCAATTTTTTCAATCTATATATATATATTTATAGCAAAAAAATAAATATAGTAAAAAAACTTGTGATTGTTTAAAGTTTAAAGTTTCTTTTAGGTACAGACTTTCTTTTTCTTTTTTTTGCCTGCACAGCAGCACATTCTGGAGTTGCAGGGCTTTTTATTAATTTTTTTAAAATTTAGTTTCAGACCATAATTTGTTGTCTGACCATCCGCAGCTTATTAGGACTAATTACCTGAGCACAGTAACAAGATAAGTATCTTTACACATGCGCAACAAATTCCCCTCTTTTTTTTATGTTTTTAGAATTTTTAGGTTTTTTTTTAATCTTTTTGTTTGTTGTGTATAATATCTTTTCATATGTAATGTATATAACAAAAGTTTTTTATTTTGTGTTAAAAAAAATCAAAAAAGATTTAAAAAAAAGTTGCTAGTGGTAGGAATTAAACCACAGCTTTTTTATTCAGAAGCTCTGCAAGCTAACCACTTAGCTACACTCGCATGTTGACTAATGCAAAGTTTAAAAGTATATAATAAATAAATGACTTTATAAAAAGGAAATAAATGCTATAGATCAAAACTAAGGAGATGTTGCTGCAATGCAATTTTTATGTGAAAGTAAAACTGTAAAACTTGATATATGTTTTAGTAAGTGATAACACTACATAATTTGAAGTTTAAGTATGTTAGATATATGATTAAAAATATATTTTTCGACTGAAGAGTCAATGGGTGTTGTTTCTGATTAGTTTATTGTGGCATTTCACCCTCACTTTAATTCATTTCATTTGTTTTCTACACTGAAATATTGTTTAAATATTTAAAATATTACATTTTTTAAATAAGTGCTTTATACTCATAATCTTATTCCTTGTTATTTAAATAGCATGGCACTCCATACTGAAGGCCTTTTAATCACGCAACCGTAAGCCATGCCTATTTTAATATTCTAAAAAATGCAAAGATGAAAAGCTCACATTAAAAAACTTGCTAGAGAATTTTTAATTTTTGAAAATTAATCTTGTTTATTTTTTTATATTTCCTAAAAAATTTTATTATTAATGTTTTTTATATTATAAATATATTTAAACAATTTGAAAACACTGTACTTTTACTTACTTGTTAACTCCTTAGAGCGTTAGGAGTTATATATAATATATATACAACTCCTTACATTGTTATATATAACTCCTAACATTTTATATAATATGCAATATTAGGAGTTATATTATATACACAACCCTTATTTTTAGGAAAAATGAGG